TGCCCTGGGATATTTTCCCCAAACGGTATTACAAATAGAACCCTTAAATCTCTCCATCTAGACGCTCAGCCAGGTAAATAGGACAATGGAAGGCATCGAGGGCCCTTTAAAAGCCCAAAGTGACGTACGTAGTACATGGCTCAAACGATAAAAGCCCAACTTCTCCCAAAACAAGAGAGGATCGACGTGAGTGGCTGCGTGCATACACTGGTGAGTTGCTTGCTGTATGTCATGCTCAATTTGTTTTGGTGACAATGATCAGTCCGCACTGCCAAAACGTTATTAAACGTTATTACAAGGAGCTATTTTTTTAGGCGGTTACTTTGACTTAGTGTGCCGCATCCGTCAGTATACAGCGAGTTCCAAGGAGGATGGGAAAATAAATGCCTCCATATGGATGCAGATGGCAGCAATCGCAGTATCGAGTACGGTGGTAGATATATCAGCCTTCTTTCGTCCCACCAGGCGTAAATGGCGTGAACGGGGGTACTTTGCTGATCATTTCAGCAGATTACATGGAGAATTCAGCGAGACTAGGTGTCCCGTTGGATTGGACGGAAATATAGTACGGTAGTCATAAATGGGAGTGATAAACTTTGGCCTTTATATGTATCTGTCTATACTCCGTACCTTTATATTTGCCATGATATCCACGATAGCAAATTTAGTTCCATTATCTTGAATGATTAAAAAAATCGTAACACCTGAATGCACAATCACTAGCTTCAACATACAAAAAAAATCTAAACTTCTTATTGCACAAAATGAACTATATCCAAAGAGCGCCACAGAGGATAGGTACGATCTTGGATGTAGGAAGTAGCTTTTGTTGTGTGCTCAGTTTCCTGCAGGTTGCATTCTGTCGCCCCCTCCATGTAGTTTCATGGGGAATGGCGGTTAGAAAGGAAAGAAGGGAAAAAAAAAAAATACAAGCAACGACTTGAGTAACATAACTCGGATATAAAGTCCAAGGAAGGACACAGGTACCCGGACAGGAATAATAAATATACCGAGGTGGTTGGATGTTCAAATTGTATGTAACCCGTTGGAGCCCCGTCGTATCGGATAGGGTTTAAGATCCTGGGGTTGAGCAGCCAATCGCAATGTTTTGGCCCCGAGTTAAGAAACGAGCAGGATCATGACGAGAAGGGAAGGCCAGAAGGGGAAAAAGGAGTTTGCAAGTTCATGAGTGGGCAATGGGCAACCAACCAGTGTGGGTTGAACGCCAGCGAGCGCTTCGGCGAAGTCCCTGCAACAAAAGCAACAGCAACAGCAACAGCAACAGCAACAGCAACCACGGAACAGGCGCCCCCCCCGCCGAGGAGATCTAGGCCTCCGGATGTTAACTTGTTCGTTGGGATATCCGTTTCTGCAATAGTTTCAGGGATTGGGTAGGGTGCGGGCTCTCTATCCAGCTCCATATTTCCCAGGCGAGAAATCATCGTTGTCCTCCATTGTTTTCCCCACTTGAAAACCCTTGGAGGGGGGGGGGGGGGGAGGGGGTTGGGGTTTATGCGTTCATTCACATTAATTAGGCTATGTTAGCTCGATTTATTGGCGGTCAAACAACAGGATGGTGGGAAGATGGCGAGGCTGGAATTCCCGGTGTTTTCTTTTTGATCAATCAATCAATTATGGGTGTGGGCTTCGGGGACTCAAGATTTCGCTTCCTGCGAGGCCAGATTCAATAATGAAAATTGATTGAATTCCCTTGGGACACTGTCACTGATAGATAGCCCAGTGCGACCCGTGGCTGCATCGGTGTAGTGTATGTGTGGATGTATGTATTGTACGTAGCTGCCCGCCTGGCATCTGCAGCAAAGTTGTGCGTAACATCAACCGCCAAGGCATTTTTTTGTTTTCCAACTCTCACTTCGCGACCTCTTTTTGAGCTAGAAGTTGAGCCTGGATGTGGGTATGCAAAAATCTATTTGGCCGCCGCCCCAAGATGCAGCAACAGGCCGAGGACGTTGTCCAATGTCACCAGTTGGCGAACAGTTTATATCAGAACCACAGTTAAGAAAGGGAAAAACACCCCTTTACTCTTGGTTCCTTGACTTGGTTCCTTGCACAAGTGCCCTGTTGTCCTCTTGTCTCCTATCCTCCCATTTTTGAGTTGGGTAGAAAGGCAAATGCGACGCCTTGCCGTGGTCGGGTTTGGCTCCCCCCCAACGACGGGTAAAAACGGCGGCGAGATTGGTATTTCAGCTAAGGGCAGCAGCACGTAGCTAGGTCAGTGGCAGTTTGAAGGGGGACAAACGCAGAAATAGCAGCCGGCATAGAAACAGCGAGCAGGCAAATAATAAAATATCATGGATTGCATTACCTCTCTCCTCTCTTCTCTCTCTCTCCTTCGCAGGGCTGGCAGCATGGGGGAAATTAACCCTGGGGCTGCGGCTGGCAAATCCCCACCTTGAGAAGCGGGCAAAGCAGCGCCAGGAGCTCGTGGGGCCGTGTGGTGTGGTGTGGTGTGGTGTGGGTGTGGACCCCAGACCCCAGAGAGCCAGAGAGCCCAGAGACCTCGAGAGCCGGGAGAGCTAGACGCAGGAGGACCGCCCAGTTTCATCGAAGAAGCGCCCTGACCGGAGTGTGTTTTTATGTCTTCCTCCTTGTTGTACTTGTTGTTTCCTCCTTGTTCCTCTTCTTCCTCTTGTTCTTCCCTTCTCAACAAAGTCCTCCTTCCTATCGCCCCATTGTCGTGCGTGTCGTTGTCGTTGTCGTTGTCGTTGGGTACTGGCACAGCTTGGTATTTAAGTGACGACAAGAAGTGGCCCAAAGCTGCCCACCAGCCCACCAGCATCCAGCATCCCCTCCTCGGGGCCCCTCCAGTCTCCACGTCGCTTCAACCCGTGTCCACCACCGCCACTGCTGCAAACCCCCATCTATCTACTCCTAACATCCATATCTCGGGAGACCACACTCTTCAGTCCTTCTTCTCGCCCATGTTAATTCGAAGCTCATTCATTTCTTCGTTCCCCTTGTCTGGCACCGAAAGGGTTGTAACGGCGTTGCTCCTCCGTGTCTAAATTTGGCGCCAGCAACCCATGTTGACTCCATTTTTTACCAGGCATCATATAACACACTCGAGCCTCCTTTCAATCGATACAAGCCTATTCTTAGAATAGTGTTACTTTTTGCCTTGTCTACATTTAAAATATCCTCTTCATACTATTTATCCCACGTCGAACCCAGTCAAGCGTGGCGAATGTCAGCAATAGAGCGTTGTCGAGTTTCTAGAGATAGATTTGATCCTACCCCTCCACCTCCTCAACAACGGCACCTCTCGAAAGCCAGAGTCTCAGTCACCACGCCGCATACTTTCCTCCGCTCTCAGTGGCCATATATATAATCCGTTCCCCGTTTCCTTTTGGTTTTGCCTACCCCGTCCTCTCTCCCCTCCGACTCCGAGCGTTAACTTTTTGTTTGACGAAAAAACTGTCTGGTGTGAGCCTTGTGAGAAGCACGCATATCCAGCATGTCATCTCCCGCCCCGCTCTTAAAAATACCTACTCCTGGTGCCAACCGCAAACAAGCACCCCGTCTTAAATTGGGGATCCCAGGCTCGCCCAAGTTGAACATTGCCAATTCAAATGGGGCTGGAACCAACCCTGCTCCGGATGTTCCTCAGCTTTCTCAACCAATCCCTGCTCGTCCAGCTCCTCCCCAGCTTAGATTAGCCACACCGAAGGGAAGTAAAGGAACTCCACAAGAAGTAAGTTCTTTGAACAATGGACGACCATCTATGCACATAGTGACAGGCGCTTCTGCGACATCTTATAATGGCGACTATGGCAACCGCTCAAGGTCAGGAAGCTTCAACACATATGATGGCCGAGTCAGTGGGCCCACATCAGCTACCTCTTCGAACTATTCCGCCTTATCTTTTGCCATTGGCTTGAGACAACCTCCCGGAGGAACGCCTGATCCCACTTCTGCCATTAGTTCTGTATACTCTGACCGGGGAGATGGCGGCTTATCAGTGGAAAGAGATAACAGCATGAACGGCTTGTTACCAGATCTGGAGAAGCTGAGTTTGGAAAAAGGGCGGCCGTTGGATGTGGAGGACCTAGATGATGAAGGCTGGCTGGCTGCCAGCTCTCAAAAGAAAATTATTGAGCTTGACAGCCTTGGTGAGGGAGCCGGTGGTGCCGTCACTCGTTGTATGCTTAAAGGTGGAAAAACGGTGTTTGCTCTAAAGGTTGGTGATATGCGTGTATCTATGTCATGTCAAACCTCCGTGTAAACTTAGCACTAATCTTCTTTTGTTCGATCTTTGCAGATTATCACCACAGACCCGAACCCAGACGTTAAGAAGCAGATTGTTCGGGAATTGAATTTCAATAAAGACTGTGCATCGGAACATATTTGCCGGTATTACGGTGCTTTTATGGACAAATCAACCAGCACCATATCGATTGTTATGGAATTTTGCGAAGGGGGCAGTCTGGACAGCGTTTATAGAGAAGTGAAGAAGCTTGGAGGACGGACGGGAGAGAAAGTTTTGGGTAAGGTAGCTGAGGGCGTACTAAACGGCCTTACCTACCTTCACGGGCGTAAAATTATCCATCGAGGTAAATTTTTTGTCCAAAGCGTGTTATCTATCTGATCACCAACACCCCAAAAACTAACTCTGAAATCTACAGATATCAAGCCTTTCTAATATCCTCTTATGCCGTAATGGCCAAGTTTAAACTCTGTGACTTCGTGTGTCAGTGGGGAATTCGGCACCAAAGGCGATGCTAACACCCTTTATTGCCACATCTTACTACATGGGCCCCTGAAAGAAATACGGGCCAATCTTACACCATCACATCCGATGTGTGGGCTCTTGGAGTAAACGCTTCTCGATGTTGCTCAACACCCGGTTCCCCTTTCCCTGCCAAATGGAACAGAAAATGCACCCACCTGCACGGTTTGATAGACCCTCTTGACATAACATTGGTCCGCCC